GCTTATCGCCACTGCTGCTCGCTCTTTCTTCTCCTTTGTTGTTTTTATTTTTCACTCTCTGTAAGTGAAAAATAAAACCTGCAAAACAGGTGAACTCTGGGCTGAGACAGGAGCTTGCAGTCTCCAGGGCTATTGGCAGCACTGAAATATTCATCAAAAGCAAATTAAGAGAACATCTCCAGAGCAGCTGGAGTCCAGAGTGCCGGAGAGCTCTGCGCACAGCTGGAGTCGGCCTCGTTTCACAGATGAAGCTTTTGCCTAGGAACAAAGCCCTTCTCTAATTCAAAACCAAACATCACCTGCCTCAGAGCTGGGCAAGGAGAGGGGGAATGGGTTTGGATCTGTTTGGCCTTTTTATCCTGTGATTTAGTGTAAATGGTGCATCTCCCCTGCAGACATGCTTCGTTGGCCTTGAGGGGCTTACTTTAGCTCATCTTAAAGTAATGTCTAATCAATAGAAGACAAACTCAAGTAATACCTGCTCTTACGAGCGATAGTTGTTCACCTTGGACTTCAGCCAGCTTGACATCAACCTTGGACTGAAAGGGGTGCAGGATCTCACCTCCCCGCAGCCCTGCAACGTGCCTGAGCAGCCAGGCCCAGAGGGATGTCTGCCTCATGCTTCAGAGCATGTCTCAGCTCAAACTTGCTCCAGAGCTGCTCATTTTGGGCACAGTCAGCTCAGACGGGTTCAAGGGAGTGCTGGGAGGAGGCTCACAGCCACATTGCCCTCTGCCCAGAGAATGGATGGACCAGCACGTGCCTCTCTCCCATCCACCCTGGGGAAGCCAGGTCCCTTTGGTTGCCCCCTGCCCAGCTCTCTGCATCGCATCCTTAGGAGACCCCAAGCCAGGCACGCAGCAGGAAGGACATGCTGGAGGGCACCCTCCTGAGCTGCAGGTGAAATGGGTGGCACCTCTCCCAGTGTCTGACTCCCAAGGGGACTCTCAGCCACCCAGCAAGGACCCTGCTCTCAGAGCAGCCCCAAACCCCGTCATGGAGCAGTCGCAGCTTGCAGCCACTCATGGCCTTTTCCCTTGTCTTCCTCCTTCAAGAGGACTGGACTCAGCAGGGCCAAAAGCAAAGTGATGACGGCCAGGACGTTACTGCACAGCAGCTCCTCCCAATCCCACGAACCAGGAGTCTGCAAGGAGTCTGATTCGTTCCTGTCCCACCCCAAGTCAGAAATTTTCCATTGGAACTGCTCCTGGTTCATATTTCATATGCTACGAAACCTCCCATCATTAGCAAGAGCAAGGTGGTCTAGGAAAAGCTGTGGCTGTCGCTCCCATTTCCATCCCAGCTTTCCCCCTCCGTGGCTCTGCAAGACTGTCCTGTGCTTTTGGACAACTCTCCCATTGCCAAGAGGCTACACGTTGGTGGGGAGCAACCCCCACTCCCTATGGAAACTGGTGGGAGCTGGGCTGCTTGGGACAAAATGGACTTCAGCCAGCCAAAGTCACGCGTGGAGGGAGGCACAGGCTGTACTGCAGGACATGACCTGGAAAGGGACTCACTGCTGGTGTGCTGCCTACCTAAAAGCATAAAAAAGAGCCACAAAACTGAAATCCAAGTGGGAGAGGGATGCTTAGAGCTGGTGTGTCTTACCTGGGCTCCTGGAGCTTGGCTGCAGCCATGCAGCATCATTGTGAGCCGGCTTCCACGCTGGGATGGGCTGCATCCGGGCAGCTCGTATCCTTCTGCCCCACTTTCCTGGGAGGAATGGCGAGGGCAGAGCAGGAATCAGGGCTGGAGCCGAAACCGGACTAGTTTGAGAGAAAGAGGTCACCCACAAGGAAGCTTCATTACAGAAACAACGCGTCAGATGAAGCAGCGGTTCTCTGACAGTGATGGGATCTGACCAAGCCACCTAAGCTTTATCCTGCCTGCTGCAAGGTTCTGGGCTGTCCTCTGGTTCATGTCATGCAGAAGACCTGCCCAGTTGACCTAAAGGGTGTCCTCCAGGCCTTCATCCTTAACTCACAAGATCTTGCTAGATAATATCAAAAGCCTGGGTGACATTTCATTAACAAGAGAGTCCTGCTCCATCCCATGCGGTCACTGCAAGTTTACACCTCTCCCCTGTGATCTTCCCTCATGCCCTAACATTGCTTTGGTAATTAGCTCCAGAATTACCATATTTAAATCCAGCACCGTGGTTAGTCAACTGCTGCAGCAGCAGCTCCGGCTGTGCCACCTCCCAACGATCCCTCGGCCGAAACAGGGGTTACCTCTAATTAGTCTCCGAAGTTTGCAGGATGCAGCAGGAAGCTCTTATCCTCCCACCGGCACCTGGAAAATCTTCCTTGGCCTTTCGCATTTCCCTAGCTCGTCTAATGGATGCCCCGTTGTTGGAAGTGTTCAAGGTCAGGTTGGACGGGGCTTTGAGCAACTTGATCTAGTGACAGATGTCCCTGCCTGGGGCAGGGGGGTTTGTACTAGATGATCTTTAAAGGTCCCTTTCAACCCAAACCCTTCT